GGTGATGGAGATAGAAGATACTAATCATAGAGACTAGCTCACATGCTTTTGGTGGTCAAGAGGTCACACAATTTGTCAGTTGTATACTGAAGAACCAGGAAAATCAGTGGTTTAATTCAATTCTAAAGGTTTAATTCAGTCTCTTGAGAACCAAGGGCCACTGGTGTAAGTTCTGGAGTCCTAAGAACCATGAACTGCAGGATCCAAGGGCAGAAGATGGATGTCCCAGCTGAAGAAGAGAGATGGCATTGACACTTTCTTTGCTTTTTGTTTTATCCAGGCCCCCAAGAGACAGGAAGGTGCCATCCACAATGGTGAGGGTGAATCTCTTTATTCAGAGCACTGAATCAAATGCTAATGTCTTCTAGAAACACCCTCACAGACACACTCAGAAAGAATGTTTACCAGTCTCTGGGCATAGCTCCATCAAGTTGACATATTGAATTAATCGTCACTGTGCCCTTGTAAGAAGAGACACAAGAGAGATGATCTCTGTCACGTGAGGACACAGCAAAAAGACAGCTTCTCCAGATTAGGAAGGGGGCTCTCACCAGAACCTGACCTGCCGGCTCCCTGATCTTTGATGTCTAGTCTCAGGAACAATAAGGCATTACTGTGTGTTGTTTAAGCCCCACAGGCTGTGATGTTTGTTATAGAGGCTGAACAGACAAGGCCAAGCCTTTCTGCGGGAGCAGCCCAGAGTGGCTATGCACCCCTCCTCTGACTCTGTCCTTGGGAGCTGCTCAGTTCACTCTGAAGGTGACCTGGCTGGTGTCACCACTCTTGCCATACGAACAATGAGATAGGGACAGGTGGTTCGCTTCACAAGGCAGTGCTACTGCTGGACTCTTTTCAAAAAGCAACCAGGAAGGATGTTCTTGAACAATGATTTTTTTGTTAAAGTGCATTTCCATTATAAAACTGTGGCAGGCTTGCAGTTTACACATTATGGTTCCAGTACACCAAGTACACAGGATTCTCGAGAATAATTTTATCCCCCCTCCTTTCCAACATTAGAGGGCCTCTCGTCCTGGTGGGGTTGTTCTGGACTGTGCCATTATGGGTCACCATGTGACTGGTCTGGTCTGGTCTGGTCCCTGGGTGGCTTCCTCTGAGGACTAGGTCTTGTCGAGCCCTGACATCAGGCTCATTTTGCTGCAGACAGTGAGACTATCTTGCTTCTGCCTTTAAGGTTCTCAGGTTCCACGTCTCCTGATCTCTCAGCATTTATGAACCATTGTCGGGACACTCAGCACTGCTGGCTCATCAGCTCAGACTCCAGACAGCCAGCCCCGCCCCTGCTGTAGCCCCTTCCCTCCTGTACCATGTGGGCACCATCCTCAGTAGGTCTCTTCTGCACCTAGGACACCAGCAGGGACACTAGGACTTGCCCTAGCATTGTGTGGAGTTCCGTTCAAGCCCAGGATATCTGGAGGTTGTTTTTCTCCTTCTTGGAGACCCGGGCCCTAGGCTTGTCCTCACTACTTTCTGTTTGCTCTTACACTTTTATTTTATTCTCCACAATAAAACTACATCCTGACATCCAATCTTTATCTGTGTTTTCTGGTAAGATTTGGGCTAAGATTGTAAGTGATGCTGTTGATATCAAAAGGGAGGCACTGGAATTTAGGAAGATTTTTTCTTTGTGAACAAAATCTGGTTTTCAAGATAATGGTTTCTTTATGGACCGAATAATTCTATGTTAAAAATGCAACAATGGTGATTTTTTTCTTCCCTGGGACATAGAGAATGTCATTACTTTCATCCTTTCATTGGGCTGAGCTGTGATTTGGCAAGGAAGGAGGGACTAGCAGGACTTAAACAAAGTCTTTCTATATATATATATATATATATATATATATACCTTTTTGGATTTGATTTACATTCAAGATATTAAAATTAAACTGACAAATACAATAAACTCAAATAATCATACATTTAAATCAACAGATTAGTGTAAGCCTACACATTAGCAAGGAGTATAGATATCGTGTCTGCCCAATTTTAAGTCAGCTTGCAGTGTACTACCAAGCCATTGCCCAACATGGGTGAGCCACAAATACTCCCACACAGCCCCAAGGAGATCCACATTTGTTTGAGACACACCACCCACAGTCTCCTGCCTCCATATGTAGTTCTGTAGCCTGTGTACCGCACAATTCCAGGGGCTCTAGTTTAGACTACAGTGTGAGTGGCGCTCCAACTCCTACTCCATCTGATACCATTTCAACCTGACCTTTAACTCCTGGGCTCCTCATCCTTTTCCTTGTTCTGCCTCTATACCCCTGGAAGTATACTAGACTCCCTGGTGAAACTCTTGGCTTTCTCTCAAGAACTTGGCTCTGAGTTTCCCTCTGACTTGGGCCCCAGATTTGCTCTGGAAGGATACTCTGTCCCATTTGGCTCCTGGGCACCCAAGCCTAACCTGGATCAAAGTTATGCTGGGTTCCCAAGGTTGCCAGTAAATTTGCACGACGGGAGAGTTCTGGAGAGTTCAGGTGTCAGAAAAAGTAACTATGCTTAAAAGAAATCTGGGTTCAATTGTGTAAGACTTTGACATCTCCTACAGTATTGCTCCATTTCCTTTCTAGGCCATCAGAGCAGTGGGGGAGTGGGAGAGGCTCAAGTCAGAAGGGAGGCCTTTGGATTCTGCTTCTGGGTCTGCCAGTAACTAGATCTGACCTTCAAGTGTGTTTCTTTCCCTCTCAGGCTTTGGTTCACTTGCTGATAGAAAAGATGCCCCCCAGGCCTCCCCTGGTGGCGCAATGGTTGAGTGCTGGGCTGCGAAGCTGCCCGCAGCCTCTGCAGTGCCGGTTCAATCCCCGGCTGCCGGCGAGGGTCCCACATGGCGTGACAGACCTCTCCTGCAGCGCCCGCTGCTCCCCTCAGTAGTGTATTTCATGCGTCTGCCTGTTCTGTTCCCCGCTCTGGCTCTGGTGAATTCTCTCACCCTCCTGCACTCCTGACTGTACCCAGTGCTTATATAAATAAATAAATAAGTCTTTAAAAAAAAAAAGAAAAGATGCCCCCAGATGACTGCTGAAGGTCCATTCTGGTCTAAGACCTGATGACACCCAAAGGGATGCTTCTTGTGCAACATTAATGGTGCTGTGGACACACATAAGGTGCAAAACCCTGACATCCACTGTGAAGACAAGCACGGGTTTTACTGATTTTTTTTTTTTTAACAGGAGAGAAAACATTTGAGATTCTTTTTTCTTATTATTTGAATTTTATTTTTATATTCCCCATACAATTACAACCCCCTTATTTTGACCCCAATCCCTCCTTTCCCCGTCCCTCATCCCCCATAGAGTGTCTCTGGTTCATAGTTGTTTGTTGATTTTTATATTTTCTTTCATATATTTATTCTTTTTCCTGGTCCCTTATTTAAGTTTTCTAGATTCCTGCTATGAGTGAGACCATCCTGTATTTTTCTTTTTCTTTCTGGCTTATTTCGCTGAGCATGATCCCTTCCAAGCGCCATCCATGTTGCTGCAAATTGCATGTGTTTATCTTTTTTGAATGCTGAGTAATATTCCATGGTGTATATGTACCACATCTTCTTGATCCAGTCATCTGTTTTTGGGCATTTGGGTTGTTTCCGAAGCTTAGCTATTGTAAACAGTGCTGCTATAAACATAGGGGTGCGGGTGCTCTTTGGAATTGATGTTTCTGTGTCCTTTGGGTAAATACCTAGGAGTGGAATTGCTGGATCCTATGGAAGCTCTATGTTTCGTAGGTCAAGAAATCTCCACACAGCTCTTCATAGTGGTTGGACCAGTTTGCACTTTTTCTCCACAACCTCGCCAACATTTGTTGTTGCTAGTTTTTTTTTAATATGTGCCGTTCTCACTGGTGTAAGATGGTATCTCATTGTAGTTTTGATTTGCATTTCCCTGATTACAAGTGATGTTGAACATGTTTTCATATGCCTGTTGGCCATTTGCATTTCCTCTTCAGAGAAGTTTCTTTTTAGCTCTTCTGCCCATTTTTTGACTGGATTATTTTCTTTGTTGTTGTTGAGTCTCATCAGCTCTTTGCAGATTTTTGTGATCAGTCCTTTATCATTAGTGTTGTGTGCAAAAATGTTCTCCCAGTCGGTGGGGTTTTTCTCTGTTTTTGTTATTGTCTCTTTTGCTGTGCAGAAGCTCTTTAATTTGATGTAGTCCCAGCTGTTTATCTTTGCCTTCACTATCACTGCTTTGGGTGATGTGTCTGTAAAGATGTCTTTGATGTGCATATCATGTAGTGTTTCGCCTATATTTCCTTCTATGTATTTTATGGTTTCAGGTCTTATGTCTAGTTCTTTAATCCATTTTGAGTTGGTTTTTGTGCATGGTGTGAGGTAGTAGTCAAGCTTCATTCTTTTGCATATAGCGACCATCTTTTAAGAGCTGTGTAAACACTCTTGTAAGTAATCCTTATTACCCTCTTCTCAATCAAGCCCCTGATTGAGAATGTGGGGGACTTGAGAGGTGACCCCTCTGCTGTCCCTAGGCTTCACTGAACCTGGTCATCAACTGATCTGTAACAACCCTGCCCCCCCGGGGTGCCACTTGTCCTGTAGCCCAATGGGCTGAGGCTGTGGTGTGAGCAGGACAGGGCATAGCAGCCTCCTTCCCTTAGGCACGGCCTGGACATCTCACGGGGCTTTTTCTTACCTGAGGGACGAGCGAATGGCCCCAGCCTCAATGGAGGCTCATGTTGATATTGACAGAGCAGTCCCACCACCTCCTCTTCTTGGGGGGCAGCAACCTAGGCTTCTTAGGTGAACCCTCTCCATAAGTCCCTCTGCGCCTCCCCTGAGTCTGCCCTTTGGTCAGCAGGCATAGACTGTCATGACTTCTAACTGCCCTGGGGTGCAGCCAGACAGGACAGGGCTACAGCCCATCACTAGTGGAGAGATGACACTGTGATGTGGCTGGAGTGTCACAGTCACAGCCACAGCTGAGAGAGTGGCCTGTGACTAAGGTGGAGGGTCCAGGGAGAGTGGGAGTGGGTGGCTCTTCAGTGGGGCAGCTATGACTCTGCTCTAGCCCAGAGGTGAACCCCACAGAGCCAAAGAGCAGCTTTTTCAAGAGAAGAGATGATCTGCATTTTTTAAAAAAGTGATATTGCTTGATCTCAAATATCAGCAATTATTTCAAAATTTAAAAACCTTGTGTGGGCCAATATTATATCAGACAAACCACATGCATCTGACTCACACTCATCCATTAGCCTCTGATCCAGTCTCCTTAGCAAGGGGTGTTCAGGCCAAGAGCTAGCTTCTCCAGACAGACAGACAGACAGACAGACAGACAGACCAGCTGACCATTTTGGATTTTGTTTCCTTTCTTTGTCCTGCAGAAGGCTGAAGTTCCCTGCCTGTGCAATGGTTTAAAGCTTTTTGTTTAATGGTTTAGTGTGTGGGTTGGGCTCTTGGGAATTTTGTGTCCAAAATGACACTTGGAGCCGTTCCTTCTTCTTTGTCTCAGGCCTTCCTCTGAGTTCCTGCTGAGCCTCAGACCACCATGCTGCCTCCTGTTTCTCCCTGACATCTGGGTGATGGCTGCTGACTAACCTGCTCTTGTTCTAGAGGCCAAGGACATGAAAGAGCTCACCCACGGTGAGTTTTCCTTATGGGAGGGGGCCGGGGCACGCGGGATGCTGCTTCCCGAGACCCCTGCGCTGGGTGGACAGTGAACTTGGAGGACATAGAGCATTCCAGGCCCTGTGGGCTCTCTTCCTCAGGATTTTTACCTGCAGAGACCCCGTGCCACCAGCCACCACCTAGGTGAGGGGGCCGCAGGGGTCTGCTATCAGCTGTGCTTCACCTGCCCCTGCCTTCCGGGGTGCTGTGCTGCAGAGTGAGGCTGGCTCCCTTCCAGAGGGCCATGGGGTTATGCAGTGAGCAAATTTGGAGCTTTTAAAGATGTCCAAGCTGCCATTTTTGATGCAGTCCTCTTAGCAAGGGCTATTGGCAGGGCAGGAAAGAGGAAAAGTGAGGAAAAATGAAAAATGAGAAAAACTTGCTTCTGGGACCTTGAAACTATGAAACGTGCTCAACTGGTGCTTAAACTTGGAAGAAAATTTCTCAGCAAAGCTTTTTCCGGGAGATCTATTTCATTTGCTGTGAAAACACTCTGTCTTGAATATGCTGCCGGGAGAGGTGTTTCTGGCTGGTTTCGGGTTCGGTGGAAGGTATTTATTTGGTTTCTCCCTCACCCATGAGAGTGTGGGAGGCCTGAGGGTGCAGGGAGCCCCTGTGTGGCTGGCACTCTCCACCTACAGGAGCACCCCTGCTGCCACAGGAGGTTGGTGCTTTTTTTTTTAAATAAATCTGCATTTTTTTAATTGCTGTGAATGGTACTGACACAGGCTAGGGAGGAAGGGAGCACCATACCTAGTACAGAAGCCTACACATATATAGCACAGGCTGCACTTACACACTACAAGACTAATGATCCACTTTCTTTAAATGAAAACTCTTGCTGTAAACTGAAATTCCTGCCCCAAAGATGCCTAAAGGAGTGATGGTCATTGATGTCAAGAGATGTACCAGGGTCGAGATAACCTTGAGGCTGCTAGGTTCTGGGGGCTGAATGTGAAGGATGTGAGGAGCATCTACTGTGATGGGCTGTTGTGACAGGCTCTATGCGGCACCCCTCCCCCCCCCCCCCTTCTCAGACCCCTGGCAGCTCTCTAAATAAATGCACTCCTTACAGATTCAGTCCCTCTCTCTGCCTATTGGTTCTTGGTAGTGACAGGCAGCAGATGTGGCATTTCCAGCAACAGTTCCTTTGCAAATAGTGGCAGCAATGGAAAGAGGCTGAGGAGAAAGCTCTGAATACTGAGCAGGAAGGCTATCACAGGAGACCCCTGGGGCAGTCAGTAGCTCTTTCGCATCTCTGCATCCTGCCAGCGTGAGAACCTGCAGGGCCCTCAGCTGATGGAGTATCCTTTAACCTGCAGTGACTGGAATGCTCGGAATTCCCCAACAGCACTCCCGGTGACCCAACAGGTCGCAATGGTGAGAAATAAAGCTTGTGTTAAGCTGCTGAAGATGAGGGGTTGTTTATTACTGCAGCATTACTCAGCCATAGTGACCCACACACGCTGAGATGGGAGCACACACAGTCTTCAGGGACACAAAGAGCTGCCACAGGAGTTTTTGGGCAACGGTTTAGAAACGTTCCTGCCAGGAGAAGCTCAGGGAAATTTCTCTTCAGCTCAGCATGTCCTAAAGTTGTATTTTGGTTTGTTTTTGGTGTGTGAGCCCTTCTCTTCTGAGTAAATCCCTCCCCCAAGGGCTCAGCATGAAGGTTCTGACAGCTGGAATTCCTCCCTGCTCCTCGGGCTGCTGGTGCCCATGAGCTTGGGCAGCTGGGAGGCTTTTGCTCCTCCCACTTCAGGCAGGCGTGTTCAGTTCTGGTCTGGGCCTGTGACTCCAGTCGGGTTTGCCACTTTGGGAGAGAAGCTGAGGAGCTGGTTGTGAGGGCTGGGAATGTGGACGAGAAGCCGAGAGGGGGGTTGCAGCTGGGAGTCCTTACTCTGGGGGACACCTCCTTGCTGGCCTCTCCTGGCTGTGCTCATACCACTCAGACTCCTCTCAGTCTCCAGAGGCTCCTCTTCAACAAGGAAGCAAATGGGGAGGCAGTTAATCAGTTTTAAAGACAGAGTCCTGAGAGCTGAGTTGACTCTAGACATTGTGGTAAGACCGAGGCTTGCTAGCTGCTGCCCACTGCACCCCTGGATAGCGGGGAACCACTTGTGATGCAGGGTTGGTGGTTGCTCAGTAACAGCAAGAGGGTGCAGGAGAAGGGGCACCAGTCCTCAACGGTTTGGTGAATTTTTTATTTTAACTAATTTAATTGTAAGTCACCATACGCTTCTAGCGATTCTTTATTGGCGGGCGCAGTTCTAGAGCCTCCTCTTGGGTAGTGTTCAGTGGGCGGGAATGGTTTCACCAGACAGAAAAACATGTGGGAGCATGTTAACTGTCAAAGGAATCATGTCTCTGTCCAAACAACCCTGAAGAGTCTCCAGAAGGCTCTTGAGGGGTGACCTTGGTGGTGGGATCCAGATGCCCCGATGGCAGCTGTAAGCATGTGTGTGCCTGTGTGTGTGTGTGTGTGTGTGGTGGTGACGTCTGGCAAGCCTTATGTCACAGCTCTCAGCAGCTGAAACACAGTGGCACACTCAGGAGATGGGGGGCAAAGTGCACAGAGATCTAAGTGAATATTTTGTCTTAGAACCAAGAGTTTGGGGAATGGGGTGGGAATAGAGAAGAGTTTTCTTTTATACTCTCCACCCTGGTTTAAAATTTTAGTTGTGGACATGCATAACTTTTATCTAAATATATAAGTACATAAAACGATCAGATAGCCCCTTCTTTCAGATTTCCACCAAATTAATATTGGCATGGAAAAGCGCTCAGGGTATTTTGTTATGTGCAGAAAAGCCAGTCACAAAACCATGTGATTCCTTTTTTTAAAGTCACACACATGCAGTAAGGAACAGTCTTGGGGGGAATATTCTAAGTGTTGCTTGGGTAGTGGAGTTTTGGATGACTTTAATTTTTTATATTGTGTTTCCTAATTTTTGCTCAATGTATATATGTATCACTTGTGTTATGAAAATAACAATGGAACTACCACAGTAATCACAGTACGACACAATATGACTCTATTCTCCGTCTTTGGGTTGTTGTCTTTTTTTTTTTTTTTTTTTTTTTTTTTTTTTTAGCTCTAGTGCCCTGGCTCAGGAATTTGGGTTAACATCCAAATAAATATTTTTTTATAAGTTTTTTTTATAATAATAAATTTTATTTTTATATTCCCCATACAATTGCAACCCCCCCATTCTGACCCCAATCCCTCCCCTCCCACCCCCCACCCCCAAAAAGTGTCTCTGGTTCATAGTTTTTTGTTGATTTTGATTTTCGCTTTCTTATAGTTATTCATTTTCCTGGTCCCTTATTTAAGTTTTCTAGATTCCTGCTATGAGTGAGACCATCCGGTATTTTTCTTTTTCTTTCTGGCTTATTTCGCTGAGCATGATCCCTTCCAACGCCATCCATGTTGCTGCAAATTGCATGTGTTTATCTTTTTTGAATGCTGAGTAGTATTCCATGGTGTATATGTACCACATCTTCTTGATCCAGTCATCTATTTTTGGGCATTTGGGCTGTTTCCATATCTTAGCTATTGTAAATAGTGCTGCTATAAACATAGGGGTGCAGGTGCCCTTTGGAATTGATGTTTCTGTGTCCTTTGGGTAAATACCTAGGAGTGGAATTGCTGGATCCTATGGAAGCTCTATATTTAGTAGGTCAGAAATCTCCACACAGCTCTCCATAGTGGTTGGACCAGTTTGCACTCCCACCAACAGTGCAGAAGAGTTCCTTTTTCTCCACATCTTTGCCAACATTTGTTGTTGCTAGTTTTTTCATATGTGCCATTCTCACTGGTGTAAGAGGGTATCGCATGGTAGTTTTGATTTGCATTTCCCTGATTACAAGTGATGTTGAACATTTTTTCATATGCCTGTTGGCCATTTGCATTTCCTCTTCAGAGAAGTTTCTTTTTAGCTCTTCTGCCCATTTTTTGACTGGAACATCCAAATAAATATTTTAATTCTAAGTGTTTGGTGGCAATTTAGAAGACTTTGAAGTAAAACTGAATAACAGGTATGACCTTTGGAAAGGAACTCAAAAAGAAATGCAACTACCTCTGCATAGTCACCTGTGAGAGATGTGTAAAAACTGTGGATGCTGAGGAAACTGTTCTGCAATTAATCAACTGGATTGGCTTGACACTGATTTTCTGGTCTTGTTGATTGAATTATGTCCCTTCAAAATTCATATGTTGAAGCCCTAGCTTCCAGTACCTCTGAATGTAACTGTGTTTGGGGCTTGGGCCTTTACAGAGTATTGAAATTAAATTGAGTCAGTGAGGCAGGCTCCCATTCAATGTGACTGATGCCCTCTAAGCAGGAGAGATGAGGACACAAACAACACAGACAGAGATGACAATGTAAGGACACAGTGAAAAGACAGCCAAAAACAGAGACCTCAGAAGATATCATTCTTGACTGATTTCTGGACTTTCAGCTTCCAGAATTGCGAGAAAATACATTTCTGTTTCAGTCACCCAGTTTGTAGTATTTTGTTATGGCAGCACTAGTAAATTAATACACCTGGGTTTTGGGTGACTTGCCTCATTCAGGGCAAAGAGAAATTGAGGAACTATTTTTCACTGGGCCTTTCCTTGGGTCCAAAATCTGGCGGTGGGTAGAAATGTTTGCAGATTTCTAATTTTTGGCTACTTGAAATAGTTTCTGTTCAAAACTTTGGGGACAGTGACATCTAGTGGTAATTTCTTATATAAACCCTTTTCAGTGACTCAATCAGGCTGCACTCCAGCATAACCTGAGAAATTTTTTTAAACATCCGGATGCCCCGGACGAGGGATGTCAGGATCTCGGGGAATGGTGTCCAGGCATCAGCATTTTTAAGGTACCCCACATAAGTCCAAAGTTCAGTCAAGGTTGAGAACCACAGCTTTCAATTGATTCTTCTACTAAATTGTGAAAACAATTCAATGTAAAACTATGATCACAGGACAA